GGTGGCAATTTAGGTTTTACATTATACTGTTAGGATGTGCCTGGAGTAGGGTGGAGTATATGGAAACATAAGGAAAAGAAATGAAAAAGATAGTTTGGAGTGTTGGGATATAAATATTGTATCTAGGTATTGACTAACCTAGAATCTCAATATTTGCAGAATCTTAGAGGCTTATAGAAAACTTTAGGTATGCCTCATTTTTTCTTTCATCCTTTTATCGACAGACCCTAATTGACTATTCAAAAGAAGTTAAGTCATTTTTTTAACCTGTCTTAGGCCTTTTGTGATGCATTAATGATCAAGGAAGTTTCAGATGATGATGATTTCTTTGCAATTGGTGGAGACTCCCTAGCTGCTGCACATCTTTCTCATAGTCTGGGTATCAATATGAGGTTGATGTACGAATTTCCAAGCCCATCTAAGCTTTTCAATCATCTGTTAGAGAAGAAAGAATTGCCTAGAGAAGGTAGCAGAAACAGTGTCAGTCAGAAATCAGACCTGGAGAAAGAGAATCCGAATGATACTGATCTGATTGGTGGTGACATTCCTGTTGGCCTTGGTGTCGTGTCAAACTCTTCACCTTTGGGAACACGTTGTGAAGAGAACATCCCTCCTAAGCGATTAAAAGTTGATTCTGATAAGTATGTATTTCGATCAAAGAAAGATCAGAATCCTTGGAATTTACTATCTGCACAAATACAATACTCTTTCAGCCGGTGCAACAAAGTGTCTTATGTAAATGCATGCAATAGTGAGGATGCAGCTCAAGGAAACTGGTCTGTTGAGTTTCCAAGGGATAGGATGGTTTCTATGCAGAAGTTATGGAATGTTAGTATGGATTCTTGTGTAGACGCGTCGCCCCTAGTCGTCTTCAAACATTCAAAGATCTATCTATTTATTGGATCTCACTCACACAAATTCCTTTGCATTGACGCCAAAAGGTAATTCCTTGTTACATCTTAGTCAAATTTATCTTCCATATTTATGATATTGCAAGGTGCTATCGCCCACAATCAATGAAGCCCAAGCTTTACTCTTGCCTTATGGTTGAGATTACTGTTTAAAATTTGAATTTCAATATTTTAAGTTTTTTCCTAGAGTCCTTTACTTTTTTATGGATCCCAGTTTAGATTTTTGTTTTTTTTCAAAATTTTCTTGGTTTCAAGTAGGTAGTTGAGATGGATCATTTCAGTGCAATCTTGTCACATGTACTTTGTCTCTGCATTTGTGCTACAAAATGTAATAGAATAAAACTAAAATCACCTGCTATTTAATGGACTGCCCTAAAATAGTGGTAGTCCTTCATGAATCAAACTAGAAGCAGCGTCGAAAAGCGCCTCTGAAATAATTGTGTAGGGTGCATATTTACATTTGCCATTTCCTCTTCTGAAGCTAGTCTTTGTTCAAGTCAGAATTTTTTTGTAGATAGTTCTCTTGGATGTTTTGTTTATTCTAGATTAGGCTTCTCACAAATCAACAACATCATGCAGAATTTCAATACATCCTTTTTTCCTGCTTTCTCACCTTATTCCTGAAGCGGGCGCTGCAGTCTGTGCTACTAAGTTTGGTCTGCACACTTCCAGTATGATAGACACGTTAGATGATCTTTGAAAGAGTTGGCAAGTTTTCTTATACAGATGAGTGGATTGTCATACTAAGTTCAGTTCCATGCCCAATTTCATATGCAGGGTCGAGCATTTGAATTTCATTATCTTTCATCCTTGAAACATATATTCATTTGCTTTGATTTAGAGTGGTAAAATGGTTATAAATTATTAGAATTCAGCAGATCTTCTAACACAATTTAAAAGCGAAAACACGGGTGGCAATTTAGGTTTTACATTATACTGTTAGGATGTG